AGGCGGAGCCTGGCTGGCCGGGGCTTGCTGGCGTGTTGGCCGACCTTGACCAGGAGCGAGGCCAAGCGAGGGCGGCGGCCGCCGGCGGCGCGGCGGCGGCGGACGAGGCGAGGCGCGCGCCTCTGCACGCTTTCGCGGCGGCCAACGACGAGGCGTTGCCGGAGGAGTACTTTCGCTCCCTCGACTACGCGGCCGGGGGCGTGCCGTGGGACCTGCTCGGCAGGCCTCAGCCGCCGGTGCGCAACGCGTTCGACGAGGGCGCCTTTGGGCGACGGGGCACCGTCATCCTCGATTGCGGCTGTGGCGCGGGGGACAACGCGAATTGGCTCGCCGAGCGCGGGCACGACGTGGTCGGTTTCGACGTGTCGCTGAGCGCCGTCGAGATGGCGCAGGCGCGCGCCGCGAGCGTCTCTGCGCGCATCTCCGCGGCGGGCGGCGCGACAGAGTTCGTCGCCGCTTCCGCCACCGACCTCGCCGGCGCGGCGCGGGTGCAGGCGCGCGCGAGCGAGCTCGGTGGCTTCGAGGTCGCGCTCGACTCGGCGATGCTGCACTGCCTCGACGACGACTCGCAGCGAGCCTTCGTCGACGGCCTCCGCCCGCTGATGCGCGCCGGAGGCAAGCTCTTCGTCGGCTGCTTCTCCGACGCGAACCCGGACCCATGGAGCAACCCGCGCCGCATCTCGGAGAGCCAACTACGCAGTCTCCTGTCTACGGAGCGCGGGTGGCACATGGTCAGCCTCACCTCATCCTGGTATGAGCGGCCGAGCGACCGAGCAGCTTCGGGCCGCGGCGCTTGGACGATGGCGTGGTGGTGTGTCGCAGAGGCGGTGCCAGTGCCCGGGGAATAAAGACGCGAAACAAAGAGTGACGGCGGCCGGCGGTCGCGGAACACACCCATCACCCTTTTCAGGACCCTTTTATACCGAGAGAGGAGAGCACACACAATGTGCACTGACACAGCTCTGACTCACTTGGTCACATATTTGAGAGAGGCGCATGCCGCCCCCTGGTGCCGAACCGCTGGCAACTGCCCCGAATTTGCATGTCATGTGCATGCTGTCAGAGTGAGCGGCAGAACGAACCAGAGTCGAGAGAGGGGAGAGTGTCTGCTCGGGTGCTCCTCCTCTCCCCACTCCCGCACCTCCCAGCGTGTTGCGCCTCCGAAGTCCGATCTCGTGTGTGGATCCCTTGAGCGGCCGCTCACTGCTCGGTACTCGGTACCCCCCCTGCACATCTAAAGCCATGGCCGACCCCCCCCCCAGCAGCAGCGTTTTGTTGCTGGGGGGGTCGGGACCCCCCCCCCCCCCCAGCAGCAGCGCTCTGCTGCTGGGGGGGTCCGGACCCCCCCCAGCAGTAGCGCTCTGCCTGTGGGGGGTGCTGGCATCTCTGTACAGACAGCAGCTGTAAGTAGCATGCGTTCCAGTGGCGATAATTTATGGTCGGCACCAAAATCAGTGGTCTCAACAAAGAACCCTGCACAAAGACCGCAGGGCGGGGACCTGTTCCTTTTTACCCATCTCCTAGTAGAGGTGTCCGTTTTATTTATTTATTTATTCAGTGGTCTCACCGGCGGGCCCTCCTACTGCCAACTGGGAGGTGCGGGGCACGCCAGCCTCTCTTCTACGCCTCTCGTGCATCGCGGCGCCTCTGCCTCAAGGAGGGAAGATACGGCTCTCGCAGCCCATCATACGCCGTGGCACAGCGGGGAGCACAGCCTGTACAAGATATTGTTCCCTATCTTCGCATGCTCGTCGTTGGTGATATCCGCGCGAGGTCATACGCCATGCAGTTCGCGGTAGGTATTGCCCGTCGAAGTTGAGTGGCTCTGGCGGTATCTCGTCATGCCGTGCGGCTGCATCATCGCCGCGTGGGTCGGGCGTGCGCCAAGGTCGCAGGGCATGGTCCAGCGATGCTGTGCGTTGTAACAGCCCTGCGGCTGCGACCCTGCTGCTAAGTGGTCGAAGTTGGGTTCTTCCCCCTCCAACGCTGTATCAATTGCAGAGAGGAAGGACCGCTTAGCCGCGTCCGGAACTTCACGCACCGCAGATGGCTCGCTCTTCGTCGAGCAGCAGGCCCAGGAAGAGAGGTAGCACGACCAGCCTTCACAGCCCTGGTCTGTGTGGCGGCTGGCCGTGTCTGCCGGCGTGGACTCGGTGACTCCGCCTCTTCTTTCCGCCGCCTGAAACGACTCGTAGAGCTCAGCAAGGAAGCCGGTGACAGGAGCGCCGTCCAGGAGACGGGTCTGTGAGGCGGCTGCAGCGATCACGAGGTAAAGGCGCGCGGAGGGCATCACAATGTGAGCTCGAAAGGGACTTCCAAGGGCCGGACCGATCACGGTTTATGAGTTTGGACGTTCTGGATGACGCGTCGAGGATAAGGAAGCTGGAAGGCGAGGAAGGGCCTAGTGGCCTCCCAATCGTGTAGAAAAAAGCACACGCAGGCTGTACCTTCCTTGTTTCTTTCTCGTTCTGTCTGCATCCGTCGGAGCAGGCGGTCACCGCTTATGATCTTGTTTAGAGCTTGACAGCTTGTATGTAAGAAAGAAAGAAAGAAAGAAAGAAAACAACCCAAGGGAGGGATAGCTTGTATGTTCCGTGTACAATTCTTTTTCCCTGGTGCCTTGGTGGTGCCCAGCGTCGGTACAGGGCTTCTCCAGCCCTCTCGGCCTACCATGACGAGTCTGCTGCTGTGCTTTTTGCCTCACGTGACAGGATGGACGTTGCCGACGGTCGAGCCCAGCAGTGCGGCCTCGTATCGTGCCGTGAGAAGTGCTGTGGCGAGGATGCAGTACGGCTACATGGATCAGCAGCAGAACTACCAGCAGAGCTACGGCGGTGTGCAGTGGCGCATTGACGCTAGCTACGGCGTCCAGGCCATGCCTCAATTCCGCTTTCCCGCTTTGCCGAAATATTGGGCTCTGCCCTACACGGTGCGCAACGGCGAGGACCAGGTGTTGAGCCGCTGGAACATGATGAACGAGGCGTTGACCGTCTCGCGGGTGCAGTGCATGGTGAGGGTCCTCGCCGACGGCACGCCCACTCTGGTCGGGTGTGGCAAGGCGCCATCGCTATATCGCGCCTTCGGCGGCCCTTGGAGCCCGCTCTACAAGGGCGAGAGCGTGCTGCTGTCCGACGGCCTGCAGGTGAGCCTGGACTGCAATAACCCTGAGGGCGCGGTCTTCACCTGCTTCGACGAGAGCGGAGGCCGGCAGGGCGGCTACGACCAGCAGGGCTACACACAGCAGGGCGGCTACCAGGGCTGGACCTCGGCGGTCGACCCGGCGAGCGGGCAGACGTACTACGTGAATGACGAGACGGGACAGAGCCAGTGGGATCCGCCCTGGTAGGGCGCCGCCGGATCCGGTGCTGCCGCGCTCTGAGCCGACGATGTGCGTGCGGCCGTTTTCTGGGTTACTCTGCGTTTTGAGCTCGGAGAAGCCTCCCCACTGCAGCCCCCCAGCCGCAGTGCGAAGATCGCGCATGTGCATGTGTACAGTCGCGCAACGTGGACCTCTTTACGTCTCATGGATATGAATGTAATTAAAGGACATGCGCGGCATGGGGCATGCAGAACACGTGTATAAAGCTCTAAAGGTCGGTGTGACGTGTGTGACTCTGACACTGACTGCTCGAGAGAAAGCAGAGAGAGAGCGCGCCCTCTCTGCCGACTACCCCGCTCATCAGACGGACTTGCGCCTGTCCTCGAGGTCGCGGTCCGTGTGCAGCGAGCGCATCGCCTCGGTCAGGTCGCGCACCGCCGCCGCCCAGCACTTGAGCTCGAGCCGCAGCGCCTCGTCGCCGCCCTTGTCTGTCCGCAGGCCCGCGCGGCGCACGACCGTCTCCCAGTCGGGCGTCGCGCGGCAGGCGACGCCAAAGGCGCGGCGCGACACCCACCCGTGGTGCGCCTGCACCGTCCGCTCGTACGCCACTCGCGTGTGCGCCGCGAGCGAGCCCTCTCCTTCGCCGGTGACGGCGGCCTGCTGCATGGCTCGCGCCTGCTGCTCAAAGGTGTCGGCCCACATGGCGAGGCCGCGGCGCACCCAGAGCAGGCCCATGGCGCCCGAAGGGTCGGCGAGCACTCCGCCACGCCCGTGGATCTCCGCCGCCACCTCGGCCGCGAGCAGCGCCTTCATGCTGAGCTGTCGGCGGCGCGGCGACGCGCGAAGCCATTTCCGCCGGGCCTCCTCGATGCGCTCCAGGTTGCGGCGCACGTCGGAGACGGAGGGACCCATGTAGGCGCCGAACTTTAGGAGGACCGCGCACAGCTCGCGCGTCGCCTCAACCAGCTCTCGCAAGTCGACGTCCCGCCCGCGGCTCACAAGGCTCCGCTGGAATCTGCGCGCACTGCGGCCGAGCGGGCCAGCCGCCGAGCGGCTGCTGCTGGGCCGCGAATGCACCGACGCGGACGCGAGGAGCACAAGCAGGACGCGGATGACGCAGGCCGACATATCTTTTTTTTGCCTCAGCGATCGAGAAGAAAAACGATTTATGCAGGCCTGGCGTACTACGCGAGCAAGCCAATGGAGAGAATCTGGCAGGACAGGGGCGCCCAAACGAAATAGAGCAACCGAAAGCCCTCGATCGGCACCCCCCGCGATTGGGGACACTTGCTTCAGCTGGCCCACTTTCGCCGTCTGCCGGCCCACCCGCGATGCCCCCTCCCGACTGGACCAAACTCGACGACGTCGTCGTCGTAGAGATCGCACGGCACCTCACTCGCGAGTGCATCTACCCGACGGATGCGATGGACGGTACACTGCTCGACCACGCTCGCGTCGCACGCAGCAACGTCAACTCGGCTGGCAGCATTCTGGCGACTTGCAAGGTATTGGCGCACAACTTATTCTCTGTACTCTCACTCCTCTCACCCTCAGGGCATTCCCTCTCGCGCAGGCGTGGCAGAAGGCGCTCGACACCGACGCCGAGATATGGGCCTCAGCGCACCGCTCGCTGCGTCGCGCCGCGCTGTACGAGCACGGATGGAGCATGCTCGTCGCCGCCATGCACTCGGCCCGGGAGACTTGGAAGACGAGGACGAGGTTCCTGGCCGACGAGGCGTACGAGAAGGGCGTCCAGGCGGGCTACTGCATGGCCAAGGAAACGCCGCTCCTCCCTCTCTCCGTCAACCTGGCCGCCGCGATGGACACGTCGAACCAAGGACGAGTTCGGGCGACTTGGTAGGGACGATTTAGAACACTCGTCCATCGACACACGACACGCATCCGCCATCCACGCGATCCAACCGCGAGCGCGCCCACCGCGCCAGCGACCACTCGCCGCTACGTTCACAAATCAATTGCGCGGCGTAAAGCCGTAAGCAGTAAGTGCCCCGAGTGTCGATATGCCCTCGTGAGAGAGCGGCGGCGACTGCGGCGAGCGCGAGGTACGTCTCTCGGGGTTCCGAGATTGAAGTTGGTGAAGTTCCATGTTTTGGAGTTTGCTCTCTTAGTGTCTTAGAGCTCGCGACGCGTCTCTCCCGGCCCGCTCTCTCCACTCTCGTCTCTCGGCACTCGGGTACTCCACCGCACACACACAGGGTACCTCCACGAGCAGAACGGTTATCTCCTGCGTGGCACTTGCTCTCGCTCGCTCGCGGCTCGGGCCCATTTCACATGCATCACATAAGATAAAACCTTGAGAAATCCCACAGTGGCATGGGCGCACTCCTCCGATCACATGCGCGGTCACACCCCTGCAAAAGCGTGCCCTTCTGGCACAACCTCAATGAGGCTCTGCCTCAGCTCGTCGTGGTGGTGCAGCTCCGCCCCGGGCGCCAGCCGCACGCTGCCGTCGGCCTCGCCCGTCGGCTGCAGCACGCCCGCAGCAATCAGCTGGCGGTGCAGCGAGGCGAGCGCATCACCCTCGAGCGGCTCCGCTCGGCTGTCGAGCACGAGCCGCCCGCCCCGCGCCGCCCTGCCGCCGACCGCCGCGTCGCCGCCGGTCGCGGCGGCCTCCGGCAGCCGCCACGACAGCTGCGCCGCAACCCGCGGCGGAAGGCGCCGCTTGCGGTACCTGCCCCGCCACCCGCCGCCGCGCCACGAGGCCTCAAAGACGTCGAGCGGCCACACGCTCGGCGACGGTGCGCGCCGGTTGGTTTGCTGCACCAGCAGGAAACGACGCGGCCGCTCGTCGGCGGACGGCGCCGCGTCGAAGTAGCCCTCCACCTGGTGGCGGCAGAGGGGCGTGAGTGGCGCAAGCCGTCTCGCTCCCCGAGCCGCGGCGGCCTCGCACCACGGCGAAGTGGGTGTGCTGCCCGCCCAGCATGTCGGGGAGGAAGGTGCGCGTGTTGTTGATGTCGACGCAGACCGCCACGGGGTGGCCCGCGTCGAGGCACGCCCACAGCGCCTCGATGCGGGCGGCGCGGTGCACCCTCGCGCGGTAGCCCACCAGGCGCGCCACCTCTGCCAAGTACTCGCACGCGTACGCCTCGCCGTACACGGAGCCGCCAACCTGCAGAAGGGAGGTGCGGGCCGTGATGCAACTGCGAAGAGGAGCGCCGTACGGAGCAGCACCCACACACCCGCTTCGCGAGCAAGTCGAGCAGCCTCTCCTCCACAAACTCGCCCTCCCCCTCTCCCCATGCGTGGTGCGCCAGCCGCCGCGCCGCGCGCAGCGCCGCGCTGCCGCCTCCGTCCCGCAAGCACGCGGCGGCGGCCCTCGCGCCCTCGGCGGCGGCGGGCAAGTCCATCTGCTTGACGAGGGCCGTGGGGTGGCTTCTGTCCTGCGCGTGCCAGTAGTCCATCAGCACTCCCACGGCGTACAGCCCGCACCCGACCTCGCCGAGCTGGAAGCGGTGCGGCACCCGCAGCCGCACCGCGCGCCCAAACACCCACGCCTCCGCCGCCGCCGCGCCGCACGCCGGCTCGTCGTCCTCCGGCTCGCGAACCGCCGGCGGGATCGGCGTCGCGTGCAGCACCTGCCAGGCGGGGGCAGTGGGCGGTGGCGGGAGTGGTGAAGCAGGGGGAGCGGTCGGAGTGGGAAAGGCGCGCGAGCGAGACGGAGTGGTCGTAGGGAACAGAGCGGTCTTGGGTCACAGAGGGGCGAGCGTGGCGTGGCGCCCACCACATCCAGCCGACTGGACGAAGCCGCTCCGACCGTGCTGGCCGCTGGCCTCGGCGGCGGCGGCGGTGGCGGCGGTGGCGGCGGCGGCGGCGGTGGCGTGCCATTGGCGGACGTCTGGGCGCGAGCTGAGTGCAGTCCGATTGGCGGCGGCGCCAAGTGCGACACCAGAGGCGGCGGCGTGAGGCCGTTGCCTCCGGTCTGACTCGGTGCGGCCCGGCTGGCTGCGTGTGCAGTGCGGGGACAGGGTGGCAACGAGAGCGGGAGGTCTGCCCGGCTGCGGCAGCGGCAGCGGCCGCCCGTCCGCCCGACGGCCGCCGACGACCCTACCCCGCCGCACGACCCTACCCCGCCGCACGACTCAGCCCCGCCGCACGCAGCGGCGATCACCGCCGACGAGGAGGCCGGCAGGGAGGCGAACTCGTGCCCCCGAGGCACCACCTCGACCAGGCAGCCGCCGAGGCAGCGCTCGATGTTGAGGGACTTGCCCGCCACCAGCTGAAGCGCCTCCGCCCCGCCTCCCGCCGCCTCGCTGCCCGCCGCCTCGCTGCCCGCCGCCCCGCCTCCCGCCGCCTCCGCCGGCAGCCTCACTCGTCTCAGCCAGCCCTCCGGGACACGCCCGAGCACCGCCTAATCACCAACGACCAATCAATCAAGTCACCAGCACCCACCCCTTCAGGACCCGCCCAAGCACCGCCTCGACTGTGCCGCCCAGCCGGAGGGACGGGTCCACCACCAGCTCGCCTGTTCACAGCAGCACGTGAGCAGCGCCTCCCCACAGCCGTAGCGGCGCCGCGTAGCAGCTCGCCCGGCGCCGCCTCTCCGTCCGCGGGTTGCCAGGCGAGGTGCGGCAGCAGCGCGGGAGGGAGAGGGCGCGAGTCCGCCTTGGTGGTGCGGGCCACGTTCGCCATCGAAGCCGCGAGCACCGCCGTCGGCCAGACGTACGCCGCCGCAGACCTTGCCTGAGGGTGCTTCGCCACGACCCAGTCGGAGTGGAGGGAGGCTGGGACGGCGCTCGGCGCCTGCTCTCGAGCGGCGGCGTCGGCGGCGTGCGGCGGCTCCGGCTCGCGCGGCCACGGCTCGGGCGATGCGGAGGAGCGAGACCCGAGAGCGACACCGACGTGCGCCGCGCCGCCCCCGGCGAGCACCGGGTCGCCCGTCCACAGGTCAACGTCAAAGATGACGAGCGGCGGGTGGCCCGAGGAGAGGACCGCCTTGAGGTCAGCGGCCGAGGCCCTGTGCACCGCGCGGGCCGCGTACCCAAACGACGCGGCCAGCTCCACCAAGTGGGAGGCGGACCAGCAAGAGCCGTTGTGCGTGTGGCCGAGGGCGATTGCCACGTCCAGGAGCCGCCGAGGCGTCGTCGGCGCGCAGCTGAAGCGAGACACGTGCGGCTCCAGCCGCTGGAGCGACTCGTCCTTGTCGCACACGAGCGCCGTCGGGTTGGCCGAGTCGTGGGCGTGCCAGTAGTCCATCACCATGCCGAGAGAGTACAGAGCGCAGGCCGTTCCTGGAAGCTGCACCCGGTGCGGCACATCGATAAGAGCGTCCGGCATGAGCGATGGCGCACGGTACGCCAAATCGGCTGTGCAAGTGTGGCGGCGGTGTGCCCGGCCACACCGAGGCCGTCGTCGTAGAGCCGCCTGCGAACGCTCGATGGCTCCGAGGATCGCGGCTTGTCAAAGCTTTTAGTCTCCGCCTGCCCGCAAATGAAGAAATCGTGCGACTGCAAAATAAATACGACGACTCTAAGGGTCCTCCCATCCCCCCCTTGGGTTGTCTGTTTTCTTTCTTTCTTTTACGACTCTAAGGGAAAAAATCCCCATTCCGGTTTCGTAGGAGCTCAACACTGAAGAATCCTGTTGGGCACCCGGGGGAGGGATGGGAGAACAGGGGATGAGAGATGACCACGTGCCTCCCCGTGTTTGCAGCCTGGCGTTTGTGCCCCAAGGGGGGTGGGAGGACGGCACGCCGCCACCACATCAGCCAGGGATTTGACGAATTTTGCTTTTTGCAGCGCGTTCAACCTTCCTGGCGGGCGCGCGTATTGATCGTGGCGGCGGAGGCGGCGTCGCGGGCAAGGGAGGAGGCAGAGGCGAGGGCAAGGGAGGAGGCGGCAAGGGAGAGGGAGGAGGCGAGGAGGAGGGCGGAGGCGGAGGCGGCGGAGGTGGCGGCGGAGGCGGCGGCTGTAGAGGCGGCCGTGGCGGCCGTGGCGGCGGCGGAGGCTCAAGAGGCGGCGGCAGCGGAGGCGGCAGCGGAGGCAGCGGCGGCGGCGGAGGCGGCGTCGAGTGTCGCCGCCCTCGCCGCCGCCGCCGCGCCGCCCGCCGCCGTCCCTCTCGAAGAGCTCATCGCGGCGACCGAGGGTTTTGCCGAGGCGCGCAAGGTGGGCGAGGGAGGCTTTGGGCGCGTCTACCGCTGCGACGCGTTGCCGTCGCTCCCGCGCGTCGCTTGCGGGTTCGCTGTCAAGACGGCGCTGGTCGGTGTCGGCGCCCAAGGCCTCGCCGAGCTGCAGAGCGAGGTGCGCACACTCAGCGCGGCGTCCCACCCGTCCCTCCTCCCTCTCCTCGGCGTCTGCTTGGCACCGGCGAGAGCGTGCCTCGTCTACCCCCTCTGCCGCGGCGGCAGCCTCGAGGATCGCCTCTACCGCACGCCAGCCGCGCTGCAGCGTCTCCGCATGCTCGGCTTCGAGACGCCGCCTCCGCCGCTCTCCTCCGCCGCACGGCTCCGCGTGTTGCGCGACGCAGCGAGCGCGCTGCACTACTTGCACAGCTGCTCTCCGATGATCCTGCACCGCGACGTCTCGGCGGGCAACATCCTGCTCGACGAGCGCGGCAACGGATACCTCGCCGACGTGGGCCTCGCGCGCGCGGCAGAGGCGACGCCCGGCAGCAATGCACAGGTCTCGCACCTGTCGACGCAGCGTATCTTTGGGAAGCCCGGCTACATGGACTCGATCATCATGCACGACAACCAGGCTTCGCAGCTCACTGATGGCTTTGCGCTCGGCATCACGCTGCTCGTCAGCCTGACTGGCCGCGGTGCCGTCGGCTTGCTCAACGCGTGCGACGATGCGCTGGAGGAGCCCGACACGGCGGAGAGCATCGCGGCGGCCGACGCGGGCTGGTCGGCGGCGCAGGCCGAGGAGCTGACGCGGCTCGTGGTCGGGTTGGCATACGAGCGGAAGAGAAAGCGGATGCCGCTCGCTGAGGCATTGCCGCGGCTGGAGGCGCTTGCCCGGAGGCTGAGTGCGTGGAAAGGGGACGGGCAGAATCAGATCGAGTAGGCAGAACCGGAAAAGGAGAGTGAGAATCAGAAGAAACGGACACGAATCCCTCTCGAGCCGCCAAAACAGACAACCCAAGGGAGGGATGGGAGGACGGCACGCCGCCACCACACAGGGATTTTAAGGAGAGGGGTGTGATGCGCTAGCCGTCGCCCACCCTAGGGGGTCTGCCTCTTCCTATCTCTTTTCGCAGTCTCTCGCCCAGTGTGGTGCGAGGGAGTTAGTGGTAAAATTCTTTTGAGCATCAGCCTCCCGGTGTGGCTCGCTTCCTCCCGCTGCGACTCGTGTCGCCGACCCTCGTCGTCGACGCCCCTAGTACCGTAAGCTCCTCCTCCTCCCTCTCCGCCCGCAATGGACTCCGTGAGCACGGACCTCGCGCATCTGCTCAGCTCGCTCCGCCTCGAGGCGCTCGCGCCCGCCTTTGCCGAGGAGGCGATCACCGACGTTGCGCTCCTCACTTCGATGGGGCGCGAGATGCTGCTCGAGAACCTGGACGAGATTGGCATCGAGACGTCCGACGCCACCACGCTGGCGGACGCCCTCTTCCCGCCCTCGCCTGCGCCTGCCGCCGCTCCCGCCACTCCCGCCGCCGCTCCTGCGCCGTCCAACGGCCACATCGTCGATGCCAGCCCCGGCGGCGACGCGTCCGGCGGCGGCGGCGGCGGCGCGGCAGTGAGCGCCGAGGAGGAGAGCGCGCACGAGGTTGCCCAGTGGCTGCTCAAGCCGTACCTCGTCATCGACCCTGGCGAGCTCAAGTCCAAGGTGCTCCGGCTGACGCGGGAGGCGAACCGGCACCAGCACGCGGGGCTGCACGCGAACGCGGCCGCCACCTACACCCAGGCCCTCGCGCTCGAGCCGCCCAATGCGCGCGCCGTCGCCGCCCTCTACTACAACCGCTCCGCCGCGCACCGCGCCCTCGGCCGGCACTGGGAGGCGGCGCGCGACGCGAGGCTGGCGGCGCAGGCGGAGCCGCGCGCGGAGCCGCGCCGCACCGCCGCGGCCTGGTGGCGCGCCGCCGACGCCGCCCTCGCTTCGGGCGACGGCGAGGGGGCGGCCGAGGCGGTGGCGCTGGGGCTCAAGGCCGACCCGAGCAGCGCGCCGCTCAAGCAGCTGCAGGCAAAAATGCGCGCCGACGCGGCGGGGCTATGAGGGGCGAGAAAAAAATTGCCGCGCCCGTCGGCTCTCGCCCCGGCGGGTGGGTGGCGTGTGGCACACTTCAGCACCCTGGGATCTCGCTGGGGCCGCCGCCGCCGCCACGTGACATGCTCATGTCTCATGTGTAGATCAAACTACACAACTGTTCCCCCTCCGCGGCGGGGCTGCGCTCCTCGCTCGCCTCCTGCTCCTCGAAAAGAAGAGGGGAAGAACCAGGATCCAGGTTGAGGACCGAGGACGATGTCGATGAAGACCCAGGTTCGGTTCTTTCACGGCGGAGCAGGTCGTCAATTAGCTTCAGCTTGCAGCAGCCCCTGCGGCGAGCGGCGAAGCCGAGGCCACTAGGGGGCCGCGGATTTCTCTTCGTTACTCCTCAAGGCCGGCAAAGCAGCCAAGGGCGACACACTCGGCCCTGTGCACACTCTTCGGCCTGTGCTTGCCAGAACCCAAAAACAATGGTGGCCGTCTCCGAGGACTCTCTCATCGCCACAGCGATCCGCTCGTACGCTCGGCTCATCAAGCGGCGGAGCCGCCTGGTCGTTGCCTTCTGGCTCGTTTTTCTCGCAGCGACTGCGCCGTTCGCTCCCGGCATCTTCTCGGCGACGACGCAAGAGTTCACGCCGCCTCCGTCGAGTGCGGCGCACCAGGCCAACGCGGCGCTGCAGGCGCAGTTCCCCGTCGCCGGCCGCGCGACGCAGTTTGTCGTCCTCCTCTCCACGCGGGACGGCTCTTCAGTGCTCGAGTCGGCCGACGCGCGGGCGGCGTCGGACACGCTCGAGGCCGTCGCGCGCAACCACTCGCTGACGCACGACGTCGCCGGCTACTACCCGCTCCTCAAGCTCGGGATGCGGCCGCAGGACCTCGCTCCCAGCTTTGTCTCCAACTCGTCGTCGTCGACTCTGATCGAGTTGGAGTGCTCCACCTACATGACGGACCAGCCGACCATCGACTACCTGCACTGGCTCGAGGAGCGGGTGGACGAGCTGCAGGCGGCACACGGCTCCTCGCTCGAGGTCGACCTCCTCGGCGCCCCGCTCATCATCGAGGAGGCTGCCGACACCGCGATGAGCGACCTGGAGCACATGGACGCGATCGTGCTGCCGCTCTCCTTCGCCATCCTCGCGGGCGTCATCGGCTCCTTCCGCCTGCTGCTCGTGCCGCTCCTCACCATCGGCGTCGCCGCCGCCGGCGCCTTTGGCATCACGGCGCTGATTGCCCGCGCGACGCCCATCTTCACGATCACGCCCTCGCTGATGATGTCGATTCTGATCGCGATGAGTATCGACTACGCGCTCTTCCTACTCACCCGCTTCCGGCAGGAGCGGCTCCAGGGCAGGTCGGTGCCCGCCGCCGTCGAGGTGACGCTCCAGACCGCCGGCATGACCGTCCTCGTCTCCGGCCTCACCCTCGCCGCATCCTTCGTCGCGCTCCTCTTCTTCCCCATCTCGGTGCCCTCGCCGCCGCCTCCCTCTGCTCCTCACCCCGAGAGAGCTCACACTCCCTCTGCTCCTCACCCCGAGAGAGCTCACTCCCCCTCTGCTCCTCACCCCGAGAGAGCTCACTCCCCCTCTCGCGCGAGCAGGTCATCTCCTCGCTCGGCATCGGCTGCACCCTCGCCCTCCTCCTCGTCCTCGCCGTCAACCTCTCCCTCGTCCCCGCCCTCCTGCTCTCCTTCCCCGCCTTCTTTGGTGCGCGCGAGCCCTGCTGCTGCGGCCCGCTCGCCGCGCTCTGCCGCCGCCGCTACGCCGACGACGACTCGCCGCCGCCGCTCGCATCGCTCGAAGAGGGCGGCGCCGCGCCGCAGGGGCCGACCCTCGACTCCGCCTTTGAGCGCCTCACTGCCGCCACAGACCAGGGCGGCGACAGGCGGTCGGCGCTGCCTGCCCCGGAGGCGTTGAGCTGCCCGCAGCGCTTCTGGTGGCGGCTGAGCGGCCTCACGACGCGCTGGCCGCTCAACCTGCTCTGCGTCGCCGCGCTGCTCGGCCTGACGGTGCCGCTCGGCCTCACCGCCACCACGCTCGCCACGACAGACGGCTGGGACCAAGCCATCCCTCGCGGCTCTGCGCTCGGCGCCGCTTTCGAGCGGATGGGGCGCGAGTTCGGCGCCGGCCACCTCAACCCGTACTCCATCCTGCTGCGGCCGCGCACCGGCTCCGCCACCTCGCGCCACTTCTTCTCTTCCGTCGCCAGCGCGCTCGCTGAGTTCGAGGCGGAGCCGGCGCTGCGCGTCGGCGGCGGCGGCGGCGCCGGCTTCGAGATCGACTCGCTCGCGTACAAGAGCGGCACGCCCGTCCCGTGGCTGCTCTACGAGACGTGCGAGCTCGTGCCGCACCGCCCGGCCGACGGAGCCGCGCTGGAGGCGTCGCCGCCCTCTCCGTCTCTCGCCTCGCTCGGAGCCAAGCGGCGCGAGGCTCTGCGCGCCGCCGGTGGCCTCGCGGAGCAGCTCTTCGCGCCGCTCGCCGCGGGCGGCGACCCGCTCGGCCCGCTCTGCGCCGGGCTGCGCTACGCGAAGCGGCGCTTCCTCAACGACGACGGGAGCGCCGCGATGGCGATGGTCGTGATGGACGTCGACCCGCTCGGCGCCGAGGGCGACGCGTGGCTGCACGCGGCGCGCGACACCCTCGCGCGCGTCTCGGTCACATTCGACATCGATGCCTCCATCTCCGGCGTGCCGGGCGACATCTACGACTGCAAGGACGCGGTCTTCGCCCTGATGCCCGTGATGGTCGCGGTGATGGCGCTGCTGGTGCTGCTGCTCGTCGGCTGCACGTTTGGCTCGCTCGTCATCCCGCTCCGCTCGGTGGTCTCGATCGGCGTCACCGTCACGTGGGCGTACGGCGCGGCGGTGCTCACCTACCAGCACGGCTGGCTCGAGTGGACCGGGCTGGGCGGGCTGGCGCGGACCGACTCGCAGATGTGGCTCGTGCCCGTGATCTCGCTCCCCATCCTGGTCGGCATCTCGCTCGACTACGACATCTTCCTGCTCGCGCGCGTCGCCGAGCTGCGCGGCAAGGGCGCGACCACGCAGCAGGCGATCCGGCACGGCGTCACCTCGACCGGCTCCATCATCTCCTCGGCGGGCCTCATCATGGCCATCGCCTTTTCGGGGCTGCTCTTCTCGGCCAACCCGACGCTCGACATGGTGGCCTTCTACCTCGTCTTCGCGGTGCTCGCCGACACGTTTGTGATGCGGCCCCTGCTCGTGCCCGCCGCCATGGCGCTGCTCGGCGAGGCGAACTGGTGGCCGCAGGCGCCGACCCAGCGCGCCGCCAAGCCGCCCGCGGAGACGGCCGGCGTGGCGCCGCTGCGCTGTAGCGCGGCGGGCGCAGCCGCGCCGCCCGTGCTGGCGGCGGCGCCCGGGCGCTAGTTTAGTAGTGGCCGTTTTGTGTCCAATGTACTGCATGATTCATGGGGTGGTGGGATCCACGTACCCCCCGCGCGGCGTCTTGCGCTCTTTTGTGCAACCCGCACTTTGACTGAGGTAAAGTGGTGCTCGGAACTGATGTCCAGCCAGTGCATGAGATGTGTTCATCATACTTAGCCTCGAAAAAGAAAACCTGCGCGCCGCCGTGCCCTGTCGTCCCTGGTATCAAATGATGCCTTTTGCCGCAAATCATGACGCGTCGCCGCCGGAGGTGCCAGAGACGGCGCTGGCGCGCGTCGTAGAGGCGTTGGTGGCTGGACGAGGCGACGAGGCGGCGGTGCTGGCGTGGCTTGATTGCGGCGGGCGGGTCAACGCGACTTGCGGGGAGGGCGAGATGAGTGGCGTCACTGTGGCGTCACTTGCAGAGCGGCGAGATGAGTGGCGTCACTTGCAGAGCGGCGACGGCCACACCGTGCTGATGTTCGCCGCCGGCAACGGCCGCGAGCCGTCGGTCGAGCTGCTGCTGCAGCGCGGCGCAGAGATCGACTTGCAGAACAGCAGAGGCGTCACCGCGCTGACGTGCGCCGCCGGCAACGGCCACGAGCGGGTGGTCGACTTGCTGCTGCAGCGCGGGGCGGAGATCAACAAGCAGGACGGCAACGGCAGCACCGCGCTGTGGGTCGCCGCCGGCAACGGCCGCGAGCGGGTGGTCGATCTCGTGTTGCAGCGCGGCGCGGAGATCAACGTGCAGAACGACTTTGGCAACACCGCGCTGATGGTCGCCGCCAGCTCCGGCGACGAGCGGGTGGTCGAGTTGCTGCTTCTGCACGGCGCAGAGGTCGACTTGCATGACGGCAACGGCGGCACCGCGCTGATGGGCGCCGCCGGCCAAGCCCACGAGCGGGTGGTCGAGCTGCTGCTGCAGCGCGGCGCGGAGATCGACTTTCAGGACGTCGACGGCGAAACCGCGCTGATGTGCGCCGCTAGCGAAGGCTGCCCCGCCATCGTGCTCCGCCTGCTGCGGTCGGGCGCAGACGCGGCGCTGCGCTCTGAAGACGGCAAGTCCGCGCTGCAGTATGCCAAGGAGGAGGGTCACGCAGCGTGCGTCGGCGCCTTCCGGCAGCACATCGAGGAGGTGACTGCGAGCCAGCGCGAGGCGGCGGACGGCGCGGGTGGCGCTCCCTCGGGCGAGGCAGCGGCGGGAGCGAGGGCCGCGGCCTCTTCCGGCTCACCGGGCAGCCTTGCCATGGACGTCAGGCAAGCGGCTGCGCGAGGCGAAGAGGCGGCGCTGCTGGCGTGGCTTGATAGCGGCGGGCGGGTCAACGCGACTTGCGGGGTAGACAATGTAAGCGGCCTCACCGCGCTGATGCTTGCCGCCCAGAAGGGCCAAGAGGGGGTGGTCGACATGCTGCTGCAGCGCGGCGCAGAGATCGACTTGCAGAACAGCAGAGGCGACACCGCGCTGATGTGCGCCGCCGGCAACGGCCACGAGCGGGTGGTCGACTTGCTGCTGCAGCGCGGGGCGGAGATCAACAAGCAGGACAACGACGGCTACGTCCCGCTGATGTACGCCGCCCAGGAGGGCCACGAGCGGGTGGTCGATCTGCTGTTGCAGCACAGGGCGGAGACCAATCTGCAGAACGACCTCGGCTTCACCGCGCTGATGTACGCCGCCGGCTTCTCCGACCACTCCGCCGTCGTCCTCCACCTGTTGCGGGCGGGCGCAGACGCGGCGTTGTGCTCTGCGAGCGGCAGGACGGCGCTGCAGATGGCCAAGGAGAAAGGCCACGCCGGGTGCGTGCGCGCCCTCGAGGAGCACGCGGCGGCGGAGGCGGCAGCGGAGGCGGCGGCGAAGGCAGCGGCGAGGGAGGCGGAGAGAGCGGCGGCGGAGGCGGAGGCGACGCGGCATGCCGAGGCGCTGCTGGCGGAGGAGGCGGCGGAGAAGGAGGCGGAGCGCGCCAAGGAGAGCAAGAAGGGCAAGAAGAAGAAGAAGAAGAAGGGCGGCGGGGGAGGCGCTGGGCCGTCCCAAGAGCCCGAGGCGCCGGCGGAGGAGGCGGTGGAGGAGGAGGCGGTGGCGGCGGCGGAGGAGGCGGCGCTGGCGGCGGCGCTCGAGGAAAGCGCGAGGCTGGAGGAGACGCGACGCAAGGCGGAGGAGCAGACGCTTGTCCCCGAGGTCGGCGAGGCATACCGGGCGTCCGAGGCCGCGCCTCCCCCAGGCGAGCCGCCGCCGCCTGCCACCGTCTCGCTCGCCGACGCAAGCTTCGACACGGGCCGCCCGGCCGTGCCCGAGTCGAGCATGGGCGGCGATACGACGTGTATTGTCTGCTTCACCCGGCCGAAGTCGCACCTCGCCTTCCCGTGCGGGCACCAGTGCGCTTGCGGGCCCTGCTCTGAGAGGATGCAGCAATGCCCCTACTGCCGCACGCCTGTCAGACAGTGGTTGGAGGTTCGCGTTGTCTGACGTGAGGAGGCAGCTCACCGAACGATCTCTTTCAATTTTTTCAGAAAGGCTTCGCACGATCGATCATACTTTAGCGGCGAGGTTCCTATCAGGTTCACTCCTAGGTTCACTCCGCACACGCCTCGAAAAAGAAAACCTTCGCCAGCAAAAAAGACGTGCCCGCCGACGGCCGAGCGCCGCGGTCGTCCCGCCAAAAGACATCATAATGATCCGGGCATCATGCGCCGCGCGCGACGGCAATGTTGTTGCACTACGCGCGCTGCACGAGCAGGATGTGTCGCTTCAAGGAGCAGACGCTGACGCCTCCAGTCCAGCTCATCTCGCTGCTGGCAACGGCCACGAGAGCTGCCTTCGAGTGCTGCACGAGCTCGGGGCGGCGGCGAGCCTGTCGGAAGTGAATGCGAACGGATAAACTCCCGCTCTGTATCCGCAGCAGCATCCACAGTGTGTGCCTTCGTTGCCTCGCCACTCCTATCATCGTCCGCCGCACCAGCAGCCGCTCAATTCTTCCGCCCGAGCTCATGCCGCTGCCACAGCACAGCGGCGCAGGAGTGGATCGCAGGCATAGGCCGCCGCCGCCGCAAGTGCCGCAGCCGTGGCCACAGAACCGACAGCCGCAACCTCAGGCCTATCCGCAGCAGCCGCACGCCTACCAGCACCTGCGCCCGCCGCACTCGCCGCACCCGCCGCACCCGCCGCACCCACTGCACCCGCCGCACCTGCCGCACCCGCCGCACCCGCAGTGTGTGCCGCGTTCTTTGATGCCTCGCCACTCCTATCCGCCGCCGCACGGAACGCACCAGCAGCTGCAGTACTCCCTTCCGCCCGAGCTCATGTTGCTGCCTCGGCACAGCGGCGCAGGAGTGGGTCGCAGGCACACTTGGCCGCCGCCGCCGCAAGTGACGCAGCCACGGCCACAGTACCGATTACCACACCCTCAGGCCTATCCGCCGCAGTCGCACGCCTACCCGCACCTGAGCCCGCACCCACCGCCGCCCCACCCGCTGTCGAGGCCTCCGGGCGGTGGTCTGGCGGGCGGTAGCAAGCGACCCCGCGTCGAGTCGCTCGACCACAGCAGCTGGCGGCGCGACGAGCAACAGAGCAGCGATGTGCGCATCTGCGTCGAGCCCAGCCGTAGCGCTGCCGGTGGTCAGCTCAATGCTAAGCAGCTCAACAACCGCATCTCTGCTGCCAGCGGCACCGAAGAGCTGCTCACGCTCTTTGCTGCCCACAGCACGAGCGATCACATCCACGCAGGAAATTTGTGGAACAAGCTCGGCAAGCAGAACATTGAGCGGCGGCACGAGGAGCAGCTTGAGCAGCTGGTGCAGCGTACGCTCGACCTCGTTTCGTCGTGCGAGGCGCGAGAACTGGCGAACATAGCTCACGGTGTTGCCAAATGCCGGCTGCCAGCGAGTATGGTAAGCTCGCTGTTCGCAGCGGTGGCGGAGGCGGCGGTGCGCAGCGGGCTGGCTGGCTTCAGCCCTCAGAACGTGGCCAACATAATGTGGGCGTATGCGACGGCGGGCGTGGCTGCAGACGCGCTGTACGCGGTGGTGGCGGAGGCGGCGGTGCGAGGCGAGCTGGCTGGCTTCAACCCTCAGGCGCTGGCCAACACGGTGTGGGCGTATGCGATGGCGGGCGTGGCTGCACAGACGCGCTCGCAGGCGGCGCGTCAGGCGACGAGGAGCGCGAACGCCGCGGCGGCACACCGTCGCCGCGCGCGGAGAGCGCGTTCCTGTCGACGCGGGGCGCAGCCTTGCGCCGGCCGCGCTTGGCCGGCCGGATTGTGAGGCTGCCGGCAGGCGGCTGTGCAGCCGCGGCTGCGTACGACTGAGCCGCAGGCGCGGCGGCGGGCACGGCGGCGGGCGCGGCGGCGGGCGCGGCGGCGGGCGCGGCGGCTGGCGCGGCGGTGGCGCACGTGCCCGCTCGCTCGCGCTCCGCGCGCTCCAGCTCCCGTGTGTACTCGGACTTCAAGTTGATCTGCCCGTCGAGGCTGCCGTCGATGTGCATGGTGAACCGGACGGTGGCCGCGTCGATGTGCTGGGCGTGTCCCATCTCAGCGAGCTGATGAAGGTCAGCGGCTCGCCGCCCTTCATGCACCGCTCAGCATCGCGGAGGCGGCTAGCACTGTCGCGCTTTTATGCCGGCATTCAAGCGATCTCTCTTGTCCCGTGCCCAGTGTAAAAAGAAAGAAAGAAAGCAGACAACCCAAGGGAGGGATGGGAGAAAGAAAGAAAGAAAGAAAACAGACAACCCAAGGGCTAAAGAAAGAAAGAAAACAGACAACCCAAGGGAGGGATGGGAGGACGGCACGCCGCCACCACACAGGGATTTTAAGGAGAGGAGTGTGATGCGCTAGCCGTCGCCCACCCTAGGGAGTCTGCCTCTTCCTATCTCTTTTCGCAGTCTCTCGCCGATTCTCGCTGCAACCTTCATGCCACCTCGCGGCCGTCCCACTCTCGTCGTTCTCTCCCTTGTCACTTCCTCCTCTGTCGCGTCATTCTCTTCTGCCTCGTCCTGCGCCGCCGCCGCCTGCCGTTCCCTTGTTCTCTCGGCTTCTTTCGCCTTTCGGCGCAGGGTTTGGAGAAGTTTTGTGATTTGGAAAATTCTTTTCTGTCTGTCCGCGATCGATGGCAGCAGGTGGCTCCCCGGCCTCGGTTCACCGCACCCGTAACGCCCGCAGCTTCTGGCGCCGACGCCACGCATCCTACTGCTGCACGCCAGTGTGCGTGACGGACGGCGGCACAGTCGGCCGCAGGACACTAGCCACTCGGCATCTTCGCGCTGGCGAAATAGTCCTAACAGAGGCACCGGTGCTGCGAGGCGGCTGTGCTGTCGACCGCTGCCCAGGCTGCGGCGAACGCACTGGAGGCTGCTCAGGAGAGCCGTCCGGGTGCCGCTGGCCGGCCGTGCCCGCGGCGGCGAGGGAGTGGCACCGCGGTGCGAGTGCGAAGGCGGCGACGATGCGGGGCGGCGAGAGGGAGAATGGAGTGCGCGTGTGCAGCCTCTTCGCCATGGTTGCGCAGGTGGCGGCCGGCCACCGAGGCCGCCGCCGCGTACGCCGGCGGGCCACGCACACAGACACGTGCGGCGCACGCTCCTTAGGCTGCCGCCGCCCCATCACTTTGCCGTTGGCTGCTATCGCACCTCGAGCCGGCGGCGAGCTGCGGCGGCGAGGTGCAGGAGGCGGGCGAGGAGGAGGAGGCGCTCTCCCGTAGCACGCGCGACTTTGCGCGGCTGTTTGCGCGGCACGTGCCGCTGGCCGAGGGCGTCGTGGCGGAGGTTTATCTCGGCTAATCTCGTCCGGGGTCCTACCTTCGCACACGCGGCCGTCCTCACGCCCCGCGCTGCTCACAGCTGCTGCTGCGGCTGCAGACGAACCTCTTCACGATCGACGAGCGCAGCGTCGGCATCTACAGCGCCGCCTGCCTGCTCGAGCACTCTTGCGCGCCCAACGCGAGCGTGTGCGTCCGCCGCGCCGGCGGCGGCGCGGCCCTCGAGGTAGTGGCGAGGCGGCCGATCGAAGCGGGCGAGGCGATCTCGTTCTCCTACCTCGACGAGGCGTGGCTGGCGGCGGCGGCCGTGCGGCAGCGGCGCGAGCGCCTCGAGCGCGAGCTCGGCTTCTGGTGCCTCTGCACCCGTTGCGAGCGAGAGATGGCTGCGTTGGGCGGCTAGCAGCGAGGAGCGAACGTCGGTGAGTCGGAGGGCAGGCAAGGTAAGGTAAGGTAAACTTCTCCACACACTTGGGCGGAGGGGGGCGACCCTTGCGTCTCCACCTCTCTAGACGACGACAGGAGGGCACACGTGGTGGCTGGTGCACGCCCACAGAGTCTCGGCAGGAGCCAGGGGACGCCAAGCCAGGACGGAAGGAAGCCCCCATGGAAGCCCCTCTAGAAACTAGATACGGCTCTCTCTCTAGGCCCTCTAGGGACGAGGGCGGGGCGGCGCTTGGCGCGGGGTTTTTCGGCGGCGGCGGGCGCCACATTTCTTTTTCTTTTTTCTCGTTTTGTGGTGCACATACGTGTATGTGTGCCCTCCGTGTGGAGATGTGCCCCAGATTCTTCGGTCAGGTAAGCAAGATTTAGTCACGCTGTGCTGGTGAATCCGAGGCTGAGCTCAGTGTATGCCGAGCCAAGCAGAGCGGGCATGACGTAGTAGAAGTACATCCAGCCGAGGCAGACGGCGACCAAGTTGAGCCCCACACCCTGCGCGGCCATGAAGCGGATGGAGACTCGGCCGGTGGAGAAGACGGTCATATTGGGCCCGCCCGCCATCGGGAGCATGAAGGCAAACGACGACGACAGCGCCACGCAGAGCAGCATGACCACAGGTGAGAATCCCGCCTTCGCAGCGGCTGCCACCACAATCGGTCCAAAGATGGCTGCGGTGGCCATGTTGGACACCACCTCAGTGACGAAGCAGACGACCAGCGTGATGACAAAGAGCAGCGCCGCGTGGCCAAGGCCGAGACTACACAGGCAGTCAGCGATCACACCGGCTAAGCCGCAGCGCACAGTGCCATGCGCGACCATGTACCCCCCGCCGAATATGAAGAGGATCTCCCACTTAAAGTTCGCCTTGACCGCGTCCCAATCGAGGATGCAGCGCGGCGGCGGCGCCGCCCCGAGACCCTTTGGGACGCTGTCGTAAGCTGCCGCCGCGGCGCTCGTGCAGCGCGTCGCGCCCACCCTGCGCCGCAGCGACGCGGGCAGCGAGCGCCCGCACGGCACCAGAAACAGCGGCAGCGTCATTGCCAGCCCGATTGCACCCGAGTTGAGCGAGGGCGCGACGTACGGCTTCCACCACGACGCCGTAAACCAGAGCAAGATGAGGGCGCCGAGGTCTGCGCAAAGCACCAACTCCTCGTACGACCACGCGCCCAGCGCGTCGCGCGAGCGCGTGAAGGCCCGCAGGTCGTCGACCTGGAGGGGCGTGCGCGCGCGCCAGACGAAGCGTACACATATCGCGAGCCACGTGACGACGAGCAGGCACCCGGAGAGCGGCAGCGCCGCCAGCGTGAAGGTCGCAAAGGAGAACTCGGGCTCGTCCGGCCAGAAGAGCGAGTACTGAGAGAGGAAGATGGCGTTTGTGGGGGTGCCGACGGGCGTGGCGATGCCGCCGATCGTCGCCGCGTAGCCGATGGCCAGCAGGAAGCCCGACTGGAAGCGCTCGGTGCCGGGCGGCAGGCTGGCGAGAAACGCATCCGCCACAGGCAGCATAGCAAGGGTGGTGGCCGTGTTTGAGATCATCATTGACAGCAGCCACGTCGAGCCCATGAAGCCCGCGATGAGCGCCGCCATGCCGCCGCCGCCCACGAGAGCCACGACGGAGAAGGCGATGCGGCGATGCATGCCCCACCGCTCCACTGCCAGTCCGACCAGGAAACCCGCCACGAAAAGCATCGACGTGGCGTCGAAGAAGACCTTTGCCAGCTCGGAAGCGGAGCAAACGCCGAGGAGCGGATACAGGACCATCGGCAGCAACGACGTGATAGGCAGAGGCAGCACCTCTGTCACCCACCACAACGCCATGACGCCCAGCACCGCAGCGCCGCGCGCGACCTCGGGTCGCCCGCTCTCCACCAGCGCTGGCGCAAGCAGCATCGCCAGCGTCACGCCCAGCACAGCCAGCGTCTGTTTCGTCGCTGGCGTCGATGGCGGGGTGTGAGTCGGTTCGGATGGTGAAACCTTGCGGCCGGCAGCCTCTGTGATCATCGCTTCGGACGCGTTCACCGACACGGATGATTCGATGTCACCTAACTCGTTGGCTGGCGACAGAGGCGGAGTCGGCATGCAAGCGCTCGGGCAGTGCTTGACGAGCCTGTCCTGGCCTTGGCAAACAACCGTCACCAGACTTGGAGCACTTGGAGCAAATGGAGACCAGACGGACCTTGCCGTCGCACAACCCTCGTTTCCTTGCCGAGAAGAATTCAGGCTGCGCCGTGGGCCGACCCTCCGATTTTATGAGAAGAGAAGAAAGGGAGTGACAAATCTCTCTCTCAGCACGCTGACGCGACAACAAGAAAACGCGGGTTGTCCTTAAAAATTCTTCACTCTTTTCGGGCCGCTTTCTTCGTGTGTGAGCTCAAGAAATAAGACTGTGAGCTCTGTGTCTTGATCTGCTAACAACAATCAATCAACATACCTCCTCGTGTATGCCGATGGCAGCCAAGTGGCGGACGGCATGCACTGGGGTGTTCATGGGGTCCCGTACCATGCGGAATCGACCCTATCCAGTGCTCAAGTGCTGAATTCGTTTTGGGTGGGTGCGTGAAGGGCAAAAAGCTACATACACTGGAGAGAGAGAGACACTGGAAAAACTCAACGCTCAATCGAGGTTGAGAAACTTGGCGTGTCTGCAAGTGCCACATATGCGCGCGTCCGTGCTGCCGCCGACGGCAGCAGCGCCGGCGGGTGCCGCGCCAAGAGCGGCCGGCACGGATGGGGCGCTGGCGGAGGCAAGGTTGCACCGCTGGAGGCCTGGCTCGAATCACCGCCGGAGGCTCGGCTCGCTTCTCGGCGTCGATGATATGGCCACTCGCTTTGCTACAGCTGTTTGGTCGCTGCTCCCGCCGCCACCGCCACCCGCACCACCGCCGCCGCCACCGCCGCCGCCGCTCGCGGCTCCCTCCGCTGCCAGCGGGGGTGGCTGCTGCAGTGGCGGCGGCTGCGGCGGTAGTATGGCCGCCACCGGTTCGCTGCTCCCACCACCAGCGCCGCCGCCGCCGCCGCCGCCGCCGCCGCCCGCGGCTCCCTCCGCTGCCAGCGGGGGTGGCTGCTGCAGTGGCGGCGGCTGCGGCGGTAGTATGGCCGCCACCGGTTCGCTGCTCCCACCACCAGCGCCGCCGCCGCCGCCACCGCCACCGCCGCTCGCGGCTCCCTCCGCTGCCAGCGGGGGTGGCTGCTGCAGTGGCGGCGGCTGCGGCGGTTGTATGGCCGCCACTGGTTCGTTGCTGCTCCCACCACCAGCGCCGCCGCCGCCGCCACCGCCGCCGCCGCCCGCGGCTCCCTCCGCTGCCGGCGGGGGTGGCTGCTGCAGTGGCGGCGGCTGCGGCGGTAGTATGGCCGCCACCGGTTCGTTGCTGCTCCCGCCACCAGCGCCGCCGCCGCCGCCACCGCCGCCGCCGCCCGCGGCTCCCTCCGCTGCCGGCGGGGGTGGCTGCTGCAGTGGCGGCGGCTGCGGCGGTTGTATGGCCGCCACCGGTTCGTTGCTGCTCCCGCCACCAGCGCCGCCGCCGCCGCCACCGCCGCCGCCGCCCGCGGCTCCCTCCGCTGCCGGTGGGGGTGGCTGCTGCAGTGGCGGCGGCTGCGGCGGTGGTAGGATGGTCGCCACCGGTTCGTTGCTGCTCCCGCCACCAGCGCCACCGCCGCCGCCGCCGCCGCCGCCGCCGCCCGTGGCTCCAGCACCCTCCGCTGCCGGTGGGGGTGGCTGCTGCAGTGACGGCGGCTGCGGCGGTGGTAGGATGGTCGCCACCGGTTCGTCGCTGCTCCCGCCACCAGCGCCGCCGCCGCCGCCACCACCATCCGCGCCCCCTCCCGACTGGCCTAGCGCAAGCAGGTACAAGCCGACTGCCAAGCTGACCGCCATGGGCGGTCTGTCGCGTGCGAACCGATCGCCTTCTTCATCGCATCAAACTCGATATTACGCATCCGCGTTCATCGGATCGAAATTATGGCGGGCGCGAATGAAGAATTCAGCCTGCGGACAGATTGGAAGAAAGAATTTTGAACATCTCGAGAAGCCCGATTCACACATCACGCGCCAAGTGGGAGGAAGTGGACGGGCGGGGCCCTGAGCCGACCTAGCCGCCAAACGGAATGGGCGCCCAACGCGCGCGCGCCAGATCCTTACCACCACCATGATCGGGAGGCGGCCAGGGCTCATAGACTCGGTCGAAAGACCCCAGATTGGCACCTGTGCCTCTCTGGACAGGGTGGCCCGCCCGCCACAAAGACTCCTGGAATTGCGACTCGCCGCTTTCCTCCCGCTGTGATTTTGTGTAAGCTCTGTGTCTTGATCTGCTAACAACAAACCTCCAACGCGAAAATAGGATGGGAGAGATTTATCTGTAACGCCAAACGTGCGTCCCCGAACCGCCGTGGCGGCCTATTGCCGCCCCTAGCCCCCTGTATGGACTCGTGGGAGGTCGCCGCGTGCGTCCAGTGTCTCGCCTGCGAGATCTGCGATGGCGAGCGCAAGCTTCGGCGCACCGCCGAATCGCAGCGCGCACTATAGCAGAGCTGCGATCGGTGGAGTCAACTCGAGAGTCGTCGTCGTCGGTGTCCGCAGAGGTGTCGCAGCTGCGGTCGCAGGTGGAGACGCCGCACTCGCTGCGGCGGAGAGGAGTGGTGGCGAAGCGGCCGTGCTGCGAGAGGCGTTGCGTGCCATGAAGCTCGAGCTCGAGGGCGTGCAGTCGCTGCTTGCTCAGGCCTGCGCACCCAACACTCGCCGTGAGTGAGTATGCCGCAGGCCTGGTCTCACGGGGCCCTTTTCAAGATAGGCCTCGGCATCCGCCGCCGCCGGCTCCGCATCTGCTCTTGGCCAGCACAATATCTTGACTGAGAGCTAAGCCCAGTTCGACGATCGGCAGCCTCACCGAAGGTCGCGCCGCTGCGCAGCGAGAGCCAGGCTCGCCCGGCGAAGGTGACCAGAGAGTGCTCAACAAATACCAGAAAAAATCAGGGAGCTCAGGGAGTGCCACTGCCACCACCCAGGCCGCGGGAGCCGAACGGCGCCGAGGACAGCTCCCTCAGTGTGCTCCGCGGCCCACCAGTGTGCGCCGCGGCGCCGTCCAGCCACTTTGGCGGCCAGGGGGCCACCGGTCGAGTTCTTCGACTCTGGAGGACAGAAAGGTACCGTCTGAAAGATTTTCATGCTCTATTTAGCGCACTTGGTCTCAAAGAGCAACTCCGTTCACACGTGATTCACAGCCTTGTTATTGAGAAGAAAATACGTCCTATGGCGCTGTGCGCTGGTCTGTGAGAGGTTGAGGTGCGAGCCCTGGAGGCCCTGGGAATGGGGGGAGACTACCCGCGGGCCTAGAAGGCCCGCGCGCAGGGGGGTGGGGCATTGAGACCGGTCATGAATGAGTGCGCGACACGCATGTTGCGAGCAGCGTTGTTGATGTTTTGCGCGTCGCCACAGACGGCGGCGCGCGAGAGCTGTTGCGAGTGGTGCTGGACAAAGCCCCGGGCGCTGCCGGAGGCTGTGCCGTAGTCGGTGCGGTCGACGGCGCTCGGGCTGCCGACCTCTTTGGCGAAGTTGTGGATGATTCTCTTGGTCGGCGGCGCGATGCCGCCCTTGTGCTCTTTGACCCAGCCTTTGCCGGTCGCATGGACGAGCGGGCCCTGTGACTTGTGGCCGCGCTCTTTGCACCCAAGAACCTGTTCACACCGAAGCATGAGCGAAGCACCGGTGGGTCCTTCCTGCTCGTCCAGCGTCAGCGAATGGCGAGCTCGCTCGGCTCCCTCCCTGCCTGTCTGCCCAGGAGTCCCACGCCGGAGCCGCCACGGGGACCCTCGAGCTCCTCCGCGCCGCTCCGCGTCACGGTCGGCAAGTGGCGGCGCGAGGGCGGCGTCGTGGCGTACGAGGTGAGCGTGGCAGTCGGCGAGGAGCAGTGGACGGTTTGGAAGCGATTCTCCGACTTCCGTTCGCTGCACAGCCTCTGCGCGCACACGCTGCGCCTCCCGCCGTTTGCGCTCCCGCGGCTGCTGCTCCACACCAAGTCGCGGCGAAAGCGCCGCTCCTTCATGCTGCAGGGCTACCTGCAGGACACGCTGGGCCGCGCAGTGGACACAGCCTGCTCGGCGGGCGGCAGCGGGCTGCCGCTGCTTCTGGCGGGCTTCCTGGGGCTGGGCCCCAGCGCTGCGGCCGTCGTGACGCTCGACGGCCCCACACCGGCGCCGCCGCCTCTGTCGCTCGCCTCGACCGCCTCGGCCGCTGCCTCAGCCTCCTTGCCGCTGGCTCGCGCGCTGCCGGCGCCGGCGGCGCCGTTCCCTCCCGCGGCGGCGTGGTGGCACGGCCTCGGCTCGTGGGTGCTCAAGAAGCTGACGGGCGGCGTCGCCACCATCGGCCCGAGCGGAGAGATGCTGGTCGAGCGTGTCTCGCTCGACGCGCCGCTCCTGGAGTGGGCGGTGCAGCGGATGCTGTGCGGCGTGCCGCTGCCGATGCGGATCCTGTCGGCGCGGGTGGACAAGATCGAGGTGCGGGTGGTGCGGGGAGACGTGCAGGTGAGCTGCACGCGGCTGCGCCTCGTCCTCGCTGACGAGGAGAGACGGAGGCCGAGGTGCCGGTGCCGCCTTTGCCCGCGCCTCTCTGACGGGGTTCAGCCCGTCTTCTGTAGGAGATGGGGGAGCTCGGCGCGGCGCCCTTCGAGGAGAGGGAGGAGCGGGCCGCCATCGTGCTGCACCAGCTCTACTCCGCCCTCGGCAGGGCGGGAGAGCCGACTGACCAGCCGAGTGGAGACGCGTCCCCTCCTCCCTCCTCCGCCGGCGCGGCCTCCTCCGCCGCGACGAGCGACGCGGGCGACGCGGCGGACGGCGGCGGAGGCCTGCCCGCGCCGCCGCGCCGGATGCGCAGGAAGAGCTCCTGGGTCGTCCGCGAGAAGGGGACGACCTTCCAGACCCACGCGCGCCAGCGGCCCGTCACGCCGCCGCCCAAGCGGAGGGCGGCGCCGCAGGAGGCTGCAGCGCCCTCCAGCGTGCCGCTCCGCCGCGCTGCAGACTCGCCCTCGGCCGCCCCTCCGCCCCCGTCCGCCCCGGCCGCCGCCCGGCCGCCGCGCCGCGTGACGATGGCGGAGAGCGCGACGGCGGGCCGGCCGGTGGACCGGAAGCAAGTGCGCGAGCTGGCGGCGGTGCTCAGCCGCCGCGCGACCAGCGGCAACCTCGCGGCCGCGCCGCCTCCGCGGCCGCGCGTCGCTGCGGGCCGGCAAGCCGAGGTCAACAAGGAGCTGCGGGCGATGCCGTCGGCGCTGCGGCAGCGGCAGCTCGCCGCCACGTCCCTTCGCTGACCCTTCCCTGACCCTTCTCGGAAGCTTCCTATACAGGCAGCGGCTGCTCGCTTTCACGTGCCGCATCCTGCCAAAGGCGCCGCGGGCGCGAGGCGGTCGAGGCGTGGTGCGGCCACTCGCCGCTCACTCACTCCGGGTGAGGAGCAGGTGCAGCTCAAGGCGGTCGAGGTCTGCTACGACCACCTCGGCCTGGCGATGGCGATCCCGATCGACGTCTCCTTCGCGGAGCTGGCGCTCATCTGGCTGCTGCTCGCCTTCCCGAACGCGCCGCGGAGGGGAGGGCTCGCGCGGCCGCTCCGCCAGGCGGGCCGGGCCTGACCGGCTTGGCGGCCCCGCGGGAGGCAGCCTTCCTTGTCGGTAGATGTATACACGTCTCGCCGCACGTGCAGTGTGTGTTCTGAGGCTGTTTGGGTGTACACGCATGGTGGTCTGATTCGACAGTGCTCGCTTTTCAAAGCAGCGGCGAGAGTGAAAGAGAGAGTGAGAGCGAGTTATGACTTTATTCTCTGCGAAACTAGGACCTCAACACACCTTTGGCCCAGGGCGAGAAGCTGAAGGCGGCGCCGGCGGTGACCGCTTGCGAGGACGAGCGCGACGACTCGCGCTCAAGGGCGCCCCGCCACTAGCTCCCGCCGCCGACGTACGCCTCGTCGAGAGGCCCCGCGTCCGCCGACGCGAGCGCCTTCCCCTCCTCGGCGCCGAACAGGGCCGAGTACCGCCCGAGCAGGAAGCCAAAGTGGTTCGCGCGCACCTTCGTGTCGCGCGTGTAGGTCGCCGTCTGGCGCATGCCGGCGGAGAGGCCGCGCCCCATCTCCTCGGCGGAGGCCATCCACCCGAGCCAGCGGTCCACCGCGGCGGAGCACGCCTCCGCCGCCGCGCTCGCCGCGTGGTCCGTGAGCGGCAGCCTCAGGTCGACCAGCAGCGGGCCGGCGGAGAGGGCCGAAGTCGCCTCCTTGGAGAGAGGCGGCGCCGCGACGGCGCCTTCGATCGACAGCAGCGCCGCCCTGGCCGCCTCCGCCTCCTCCGTGAAGTACGCCTCCGCAAAGTCCTTCCGGTTGCCGCCCTCTGCGAATGCCTCCCGCGTCTCTGGAGAAGGATAGTCGGCCAGCGTCGGGAGCGCAGGGTCGTAGCCAGACTCGGCGCGCGGGCGGTAGTCGATGTACAGGTCGACGCCGCCGTCCGAGACGCCGCAGCTCACGACGAGGTGCGGCACATCCGTCAGCGGGCCGCAGAAGGCGGCGACCGCCCCTCGCGAGACCTCGCCGCCCGAGAGAGTCAGGCCGGAGCACCAAGCCACGTTGGGCGCGCCAGGGCCCTCGTACGAGACAATCTTGCCCGGAGAGCCCGAAACGCCCGTGAAGTCGTCCGCATAGTCCTTGGGCGTCAGGCCACACTGGTCTGCGATCTTTGAGAGCGCCGCCTGCTGCCAGCCAGTCACGATTGACGCGGCACCTCCGACATCTGTGGCCGCGTCGCGAGTGGCCTCGGCATCGACCATGCTGATGCTGGTCGAGCAGCGGGCAAACGTGGGCTGCGGAGGCGTGCGAGGCACGACGAGGCCGAGCGAGAGCGCGGCGATCAGCGGCATGGCGGCAGGCGACCGAGGAGAGGGGCTTCGCGGGTGCGATGAGCTTCTCGCGCGAAGAAGAATTCCTGCACGCGCTTCCCCCTGACCTCCCTTGGGTTGTCCGTTTTCTTTCTTTCTTTTTCCCCGAAATCCGACGCGAATTCTTCTTTCTGAAGGGGGGAACAATCAATCAAGCCGCGCAAGGACAATTCGGCGGCAAACCAAAAGGAACACCGAGATGGTGCCCCGACGAGAGCCGCCGGCCGCTCATTGTGCCGCAGCCGGCAGACCTGCCGCCGACATGGAGCCCTCGCTCCCGCCGATCACGCGGGCCAGCACCACAGGCTCACAGGCCCGCTCGGTGACCTTCGAGCTGTCCAAGGTGGAGGAGCTGCTCGTGTGCTGTGAGGACAACCGAGGCCCGAGTTTTGTCGAAAGGCAGAGCGAATTCGACAGCGAGCGCTTGTCGTGCCCGAATCCAGACAACAAAGATGACCACGCCTGGTACCGCTCTCGCTATTGGAGCGGCGCGGCGGCTATCGCCGTGCTCCTCGTGGCTGCCGGCTCGAGTGCTTGCATCGCCTATTCTGTGGGAAGGCGCCATGGTGCAGCTGGCTGTGAGAGCAGCATTGCGAAATGAGCGTGCGGCAGTATGGCTCGAAGCAAGCACATCTTTGAGGCCGATGAGGGACTCTTCCTTCTGTCAGACGTGATCCACGTGTTTGATTCTCGTTTGCGCGTTGAAATCGCTCAGTCGCGCGGGAGCCGCCGCGGTGTGAGCTCTATTGTATCTGTGGCGTCTTTCGTTATTGTGTCGGTAGTTGACCAGTGTACATTTATCTCGAACGCCGCACCCCTGACTCAGCACCTTCTCCTTCCTCTCTTTGCCTACCTCCCACTGTTCGAATTGTGAGCTCCAAACCCAGGCCCCCCCTCCGCGCGTGGACGTCCCACCGACACAGACACATGCCGACACAACACGCAGTGCAAGCCAACAGACTCGATGGGCTCTCCAGAGCTGCTCAGCGCATCTCCTCCACTCCGAGCTTGTCGTCGCCCGCGACCGCGAAAGGCGCTGGCGCAGCCACCGCCCTGCCAACCACCATACCGGACACGCGCCGTGTGGGTGCCACCGTCCGTCGTCTCCCGCCCCCAACCTCCGCAAGACACACGTCATACTCGCACCATGCTGGCCAAGCGCACGGGTCCGCCTTTCGGCTGCTGGGAGAGGGAGGCGAGCGAACGCAAGAGCAGCTCCTACGCAACGAGAGAAGCAACGGCTGAGTGCTGTGGCGGGACGTTGATGTCTGACTCTGTCCCTCGCCCTCGCCGTTGTTTGCGCCGCAATCTCGCGCGATGCGCGGAGGAGTGCAGCGTGCTGTGCCTCGGCTCGACGGCGGTCCTCCAGGAGGCATTGCACCTGGAGCGGGCGGAGACGAGGTCAGGAGACAGCGACTCACAGAAAAGGGCGAGGGACGCGCCTGTCCTTCGAGAGTGGACAGCTCTCGCTTCAGCACCTCGCTCTCCACCGCACTCCCCGCTTCGAAGGCTTCAAGAGCGGCGCCGTTCCGGAAGTCGGCGTCGGCCCAGACCAGGTGAACCCACTCCTCGCCATCTTCCTCAAAGCCGGCCCGCTCGCCTCCGACGCGGCTCGAGCTGCGCGAAGGCATCCAACGCACATTCGCACCCATGAATCTGTCGCCGTCTGCTCCCTCTTGGACGCTGCCCGATTGCGTTCCGGGCAGGCTCGAGCTCCGCGCCTCCGAGTCCATCAAAGACGTCCCGTGCGCATTCGCAAGCACGCGTTGCTCGTCGTCTGCTCCCTCTTGGAAGCATGGCTCTTGGGCGCCGGCCAGGCTCGAGCTGTGTGCCTCCCAATCCCCGCACGAGGCCATCCGACTCCACGCCAACGCACCACGCACGCTGCACGCACACGCACACACTGGGCACACGCACGCACAAGGGGCTCGCGCTCCCGCCTGCCTTCGAAGTCACTCCGGGGACGCGCGATTTGACATCCTTGATCGGCCGCGAAATTTGTTTACCTATACACAACGATTGTGTGTTTCTTTCTTCTCTCTCTTCTTCGATTTCGACACGGAGCGCTTTCAGGCATTCAGGGCGGCGGCGCACTCGCTCGGGGACAACGCGACCGTGATCGCCGCCACCGACCGCCGCACGAGGCCGGCCTCTTTCTTTGGCGGGCCTCTTCGCTCTTGTCACCAGTGCGTGCGCGAGACGGAGACTCCATGGAAGATCACGAGTCTCGCGGCAAGCGCCGTGCGCCTCAGAGAAAGAAATCGATCGGACCCGCATCCGCCCCCCCCCCCCCCTCCCGCGCGCGCGCCCAGGCCCTGGATGTGTGTTGAGGTTGATGACCCGGCGACCGCCTCGGCTCTCTCTCTCTCTCTCTCTCTCTCTCTCTCTCTCTCTCTCTCTCTCTCTCTCTCTCTCTCTCTCTCTCTCTCTCTCTCTCTCTCTCTCTCTCTCTCTCTCTCTCTCTCTCTCTCTCTCTCTCTCCTCTCTCTCTCTCTCTCTCTCACACACACCGTGTTAGTGCCAATCCACTCAAGTCTCACTTGGAGTGCGGTCATCAACCTCACATCCAGGGCCCGGTAGCTATAGCGCACAGCGGGCACCGCTCAAACTTGACAAACACTCTCTCAAACTTGGAGGGCATGAAAATTCTTTCTCTTATGGCACGGCACTTGCAGGCGGGCTAACCTGGACGTGCGCTTGCTGGCGAACCGTGTTAGTTAGTGTAATACATTAAAGTCTGATTTGGAGTGCGATCACGACGCGCCAAATCCGGATGTAGATCTCTGTTATGGAGTCTCCGCCTCTTCCTTATTTCCAGCGCAGCTGCTCAGTATGTGTGCGCCAACGACGCCTGTGGTGGCTCTCGTGTCTTCTTGTTTCCAGTCGTCCCAGCGCACTCGTCCCGTTCCCGTGTGGCGCCTGTAAAATTCTTTTCAGGTGAGGCGCCGCCGACGTGCCTCCATGGAGTCTCCGCCTCGCGCACGCACCGACGACGACGACGCCCCGCCCACGGACTGGCTGGGCGAGCTGCCGCCGGAGCTGCACCTCCGCATCCTCGAGGGCGTCGACGACTTCTCCGACTGCGCCGCCTTCAGCCTCGCGTCGCCGCGCCTCGGCCTCCTCGCGCAACGCAGCGGCCTGGCGCGCTTCAAGGACCCTCTCTTCGCCGTGGCGATGCGGCTGCTTCTCATCGAGCGTTTGATTGCCGGATCGTTCGTCGGGTCGTCCATCATACGGCCGACGCTTTGCGAGGCCACCCTTCGCGCCTACGCCGCCGACCGCCGCGCCACCGCCGACCACTTCCCGTGGCTTGCGAAGGTGAGCCCGGCGCTTTGCCTCTCGACAACGGTCGAAGGCGCTGACGAGCAACGCGCCGAGGCGTGGGCGCTGCGACGCGGCGAAGAGCGGGGCGCTGATCTGCGGGTGCGCTTCTTGAGGAGTGGCCTGGTGCGGCACTTCGAGGGCGGGCGAGGCGCGGAGCGGATGGTGCGCTTGGAGTTTGCTCACGGCGCCGTGCTGCACTTCGAGGGCGAGCGAGGTGCCGAGCGGATGGCGCGCGAGGAGTCTACCAACGGCATTGTGCGGTACTACGAGGGCGAGCCAGGCGCGGAGTGGGTTGTGCGCGTGGTGCTTGCCGACGGCGTGGTGCAGCACTACGAGGGCGAGCGAGGTGCGGGGCGGTTTGTGCGCAGGGAGTTCGCCGACGGCACCATGGAGCACTACGAGGGCGAGCTAGGCGCGGAGCGGCTGGTGCGGAAGGAGTCGCCCGACGGCACTGTGCGGTACTACGAGGGTGAGAAAGGCGCGGAGCGGGGCGTGCGCACGGTGTTTGCCAACGGCACTGTGCGGTACTACGAGGGCGAGCAAGGTGCGGAGCGGCTGGTGCGCATGGAGTTTGCCGACGGCATCGTGCAGTACTACGAGGGCGAGCGAGGTGCGGAGCGGCTGGTGCGGAAGGAGTCGCCCGACGGCGTTGTGCGGTACTACGAGGGCGAGCCAGGTGCGGAGCAGGTGGTGGGCGCCGAGGGCTAGTAAGAGCTCGAGTGGCGAGTCGCTTGCGTCGATGGCGATGCCTGTGGCTTATGGGCCGTCGTACCGCGTACCACACGCCACCACCAGACCACCACCACACACACACACACACACACACACACACACACACACACACACACACACACACACACACACACACACACACACACACACACACACACACACACACACACACACACACACACACACACACACACACACACTCACGCTGCTGCTGTTGCGTTCTCACGCTTTACGCAATTCTTGAGTGTTGTGCGAGGGAGTTTCGTTGTGAAATCATCCACAGCCGGGAGAGCGCCATCATGGATGATGGAACACGCAGATCTGCTTGATTGATAAGCAGCACGCGCTCCCATGGACCGCCGCTCGAACTCCGACGGTTCCGGCACGTCTGATGGGCAGTTCGTGCTCGAGGGGGAGCAACGATCGAATTCTTTTGGTTTTGCGCAGCGGTGGCGACACGTTGGCTCAGCCCGGCGATATGACGTCCTGCGGATCCTCGCAGCTCGACACGGGCTGCGGCGAGTGCTTCTCGGCGGTGGCGGGCCGTACGCTACCGCCTCCCGGCCCGGCTGGCCGCGTCGCGATCGCTACAGTGTGGGACGGCGGGCACGGCTACGCGTGCGCCATCCCGCTGTGGTGCCAAGGAGCGTCGCGGCTGGCCAGCGTGGTTGGCGACGCAGAGCTGCTGATCCTCTCGCCAAAGGTGAGCGAGGACTGCCCGAGCGCGCGCTACCTGCAGCCGGCTCGCACGATCCAGGCGGCGCAGAGCTACCTCCACCGCCACGAAGGCAGGCTCGGCCGCAACTCTGGCCAGCGCGGCGCGTTCGCGGTGTCCAACCTGCTCAAGGTCGCCTTCCTCTCGCTCGGATCGACGTACGAGCTGCTCCTCTACGCCGACCTCGACATCGACCTCATGGCTCGCCCGCTCGACGCCGCCACCTGGCGCAGCGGCGCGGAGGCGCTGTTGCGCTCTTCGGCGCTCTTTGTCTCGCTCTTCGACCACGCGTCGCCCGTCAACGGCGGGCTGTGGCTGGTGAGGCCGCGGTGCGACGTCTTCTCGCAGGCGGCGGAGCTGCTCGAGCGCGGCCGCTGGAGCGCCGCGGAGGGCTTCGACGGCGTCGGCGCGCCGCGCTCCTTCCCCCGGAGCCGGATGCGGGAGGTGGCGGGCCTGCTGGCTGCGGGCTCCGACGCGAGCCTGTTCAAGGTGGAGGGGACGATCAACGGGACGCACTACGGCAAGCTCAACAGCTGGGACTTTGTCAACGGCGCCCTCGACCAGGGCCTGCTCTGGTACCTCTTTTACCTCAAGAACGACCTCGGCACCTGGGCGCGGTACGACCGCGGCGAGCTGCCGTGGCGCGTGGAGCACTTTTGGGGCGTGTCGAAGCCGTGGCGAGCGGCGGCGGCGCGCGGCTACTGGAAGCGGCTCGCGCCGCTCGAGGGCGGCCGCAGCCGTCGCACGCACTGCCGCAACCTGTCGAAGCGGGGAAGCCGGTGGGCCGGGGCCGCCAGCAGCACCGCCTCAAAGAGCCTGGTCGGCCCGCTGCCGTGGCCCGAGGGAATGCGCCGCTTCGGCGACCAGGCCGCCTCCTGGGACCTGTCGCGGCCCGGTGACTGCCGCCGCTCCGGGCCCGACTGCAAGCAGAACCGTGAGGCGTTCAGTATATGAGTCACGGCCAGGCACCGCGTCTCTGTCACAATAGTCGTGTTTGGAGGAGACTTTCGATTGGGCCCGGGCCACAAAGCGGTGTGGGCAGCTGGCTGCTACATCTTTTCTCTTTTGTGCACACGACATTCGTCGCTTGCGCCGTGCGCGTCGCCCCACCTCGTGAGATCAGACAAACTTTTGAGTGTTACATTACTCCTCTCTCGCATCCGTCTTCCGCGTTCCGCTTCCGCGTTCCGGCTTGCGAGTTGCAGCTCCGTCCGCGGCCGCGCCGGCGCACTCCCTGGTGCCGGTCGATCTTCGGTTCGATTCGGCTCCCTCCCACCGATCTCTCCAATGCTGGTACACCTTGTCCGACACAGGCGTCTGTGCCCGCAACGCCTCTCGCGCTACGCGCTCTCGGCAGTCGTGCGCTGCCGCGGAGTCGAGCGCGCGGCAGAGCGCCTGTAGGGTCTCGTCTTGCTGCAGCAGCGCGGCCAGCGTGGCCTGCGTCTTGTTGGAGACGAGGTTGGCGTGACGTGGACGGGCGCAGCCGCCAGAGGCATCTCGCAGCGCGAGCTCGCGGGTCAACACCTCCTGCAGCTCGTCGAGGTGGGACGTCACGCCGACGAGGTCGAAGTGTGCGAGGATGCGATTGGCCAATGCCACCGCAGAGGCCGCGTCGCGAAACAATCCGCCGTGCCAGTGCTGCGCCTGCTCGACCAGCAGGTCAGCCGCCGCGGCCAGTGCGCTCGCGTTGCGCTCACCCCTCTGGCTGGCCGGCAAGCCGACATCGCCGGGGCTGAATGGCAGCAGCAGGTGCCTCAGCTGCGCCTCAAACTCGATTCGTCCGTGCTGCAGCAAGTTCCAGGGGAAGACGCGTGGCATGTTGGTGCTGAAATAGCCGTGGTCGGAGACGAGTCTGCTCACTGGCTCGCGCAGCACAGTCAAGGCCACGGCTCTGCATCCGCGCCGCTCCTGCGCTGCTCGCCAGACAGGCATGTCTTTGAGGAGCGTGAGGAATGGCCCTCCGTTGAGCCAGTAGGGCGAGTGGTACTCGATGAAGAGTCGGGGGTGGGACGCGGCGAGGGTGTCGTTTGTCAGGAGCGCGTTCACAAAGCCCTGCGAGATGCGCCCCGCCGCCAGGTCCGTCGAGGGCGTCAGCATGACCACCTCAAAGGAAGGGTCAGAAACGAAGAGCGCGCGGAGGCTGGTGCCACCCGTCTTGCGGAGGTGGCGAAAGAAGACGGTGGCGCAGGGACGGGACGGCGGCTGGGAGGGGCGGTGGCTGCGCCAGGCGCCGGGCACGGGCGTGGGCGACAACGAAAGCTCGGCGTGGAGGAGGAGGAGCCGCTGGAGGGTGGCGCTGGCATTCATGTGCTGGGAGCGCGGTGTTTGCACTTCGCGATTGGGCGCCATCGACGCCGTGAACGGACGACGGTGCAAGTTTCGGAGAACGAGAATTTTACAACGAAAATCCCTCGCACGACACTGGAATTTTACAACAAAACCCCCTCGCACGACAACTTTAACTCCCTCGCACCCTTCTTTCTCACCCTTCTTTTTTCTTTTTTTTTATGTGGCTCTTACGTACATTCCCGGAGGAGGACTGCTGACAGGGTTTGCGATTTCTTGCCCTTCTTTCTTACCCTTCTTTCTCACCCTTCTTTCTCACACCCTTGAGCACTTGAGCACTTGAGCACTGGATAGGGTCGATTCCGCATGGTACGGAACCCCTCGATCGTCTCGCCCTCCCTCACTGGTGTGTTCATTGGGGGGGTCATAACAAACACGGTATCTAGATACAGGATCGAGGTGCTCGCTGCTGAAGCAGTGACCAGTGTGTGTTGCAGCGCGCAGGGGCGTGCGGCGCACTCTTGAAGAGGGGGGGGGGGGGGGGGAGTACTAGATAGCCAACAACTGGTAACAAGTGTTTTTGGGGCGAGGGTGATGCCGGTTTCATTTCACATTCACGTGGTGATGGGGAGAGGGCGAGGGCCACTGCGCCCAAGCAACTCGGGTCGTTCATATGTGACTCTGACCCCACACGAGTCCTGACCCGTATTACAGAATGACCAGGAATTTAGTGTTTCCATTCCCCTTCTCTGCGCGAGAGCCGTGGAGGGCGCCATCAGAGTTCTCAGAGACATGCCGCCGCCTCGAGAAGGGTCGCCGTTCCGACCATGGAGGCGGGGATAGGACTTGAGAGAGGCGTGGAGGCGCAGCCTAGGCACCGCCGACGGCGAAGATGTCGTTGAGCTTGCACTCGAGCAACGTGACGCGCTCCTGGATGCCGTTCACCGCCTCCTTGGTAAGCACTGCGTTGGCGGCCGTGAGGGAGCGCTGTGCGTCGACGAGGGCGGCCATCAGGAAGGCTTCCGAGTGCCTTATCCCAATGCTTCGGCCCAATGCTTCGGCACGAGGGCACGACGTCCTATTTGTGCTATTTGTGACCTCGTGCCGGCGACGCATGGCAGGCTGGTCATGACGCAGTTATAGGGTGTTGTGTGCCGTCAGAGTGACCTCTACAGCACTCCGGGGCGCTCTACACCTCTACAGCTCTACAGCGCTCTACACTCTACATCCTCTACACCCTCCCTCAGCAGGTCGGCTGACACGTCCCGCACACGTCCCCGTTTACCATGCCGTTTACACACGGCTGTACAATGTTAATTAATATGTGTTCTCCATCTCCAATCTCCACCTTTGACCCTGGCAACTGCCCACACGATCCACAATCTGTGATCTCAATCTTTCATCTTCAACCAAGCCCGACTGTGTGGTAGAATCGGCGAGGATCTCGACAGACACGTCCCCACCTTTGCAGGATTTTGCAAAAGCGAGGGGGGAGGGCGCATCGCCACGAGGAGAGGGCTGGGCACAGTAGGGCACAGGGGATCTCTCTCGCATAGGATACACACTCGGCGGCACGAGGGCAGGGCTGGGCGTCCTATTTGTGCTCCCCTCCGTATCCCTCGCTCTCGGGCACTATCCATCTGACCAGGGCAGGGCTTGGCGAGCGGCCGCGTGTGATGGCAAACCACTCTCCACTGGCAGGGACAGAGCTGCTGTCAGAGCGTGAGAGAATTTTACAACGAAACTCCCTCGCACAGGTCACAGGACAAAGAGAAATCAGCATTCCCAGCACAACTTCCTGGCGCAACACTGCTCACTGGGCACGAAGAGAGAGAGAACAGAAATCAGTCCGATGGGGAACAGAAAGTTACTCCCGGAGTAGAGCAAGGAGGGAGGCAAGCGACAGGGGGGCCGCTCGCGATCACTCGCTGAGCATGTAGTTTGCGGGCCGGAAGTTGAAATACTGGACATCCGATTTGTCGCGGCACCACACGGCGAAGCCCTGGGCGATTTTGACTCCCTGCTTGCCGACGTACGCGCGCTTCGCAGCAGTCCAGTTGTTCTGGAAGTGTGAGTTGTGCGACTTGGACATGATGTAGTAGTTGAAGACGTGGTGCGCACCGCCCGCCGAGCGCGGCAAGATGTGGTCGGTCGACACGTCGTCGACGGTGAGGCCGGTGCCCTCGAGCTGCTCCGGGTTGGCCTTGAACCACTTTGTGACCTCGCCGGCGTCAATCTCGCGGTTGTGGAACTTGGCCTTCATGTGCTCGATGAGGTCGAGGTTGAGCGCGCACAGGCGCCCACGCATTGCCACCGGTCCCGGCGGCGCGAGATCTCGCACTCGGCCGGCGGCACCAGCGGAAGCAGCAGCAGCCGGGCCGGGCGCTCGCGCTGGCGCCGCCTCCGCCGCCCTCCGGAAGCAGGCGGCAAGGGGCCCCTCGTTCGGCTGCATGCGAATGCTGGCCGGCGCGGCCGGCGCGGCGGCGGGCGCGGCGGCCGGCGCGGCGCCCGGCGCGGCGGCAGGCGCGGCAGTGGTGGGCGCGGCGGTGTGCGCGGCGGTGTGCGCGGCGATGGGCGCGGCGAAGAAGGAAGCGGCCATGCCATTGCCGTGATCGGCCGCAGGCGAGGCGTCGGGCTCGGAGGACGCTTGACGCGTGGCCGTGGGCGGGGCAGCCGCGGCGGCCGTAGAGTCACTCACGCTGTGGCCGCTGCGGCGGTGGCCGCCGTTCGCCGCGGCGGGCGTGCAGCACGGCGTGCCCGCCGCCGGCTGATTCCCAGTGGTGGTGCCGATCACTGGCGATCGGCCAGACTGATTCACCTGCTGACGCACTGCGCGCTGCACACCAGCGGGTAGCTGCCGAAGCGCTCCCGCCGGCCGAGCCTCCTCTGTCGCCACGCCAGCACGGACGCCGTCTCGCACGGTGGCAGGGACTGCCCCCGCCATGTATCGCGTTTCTGGATGGAGACTGCAGCTAAAGAAAGCGTGTTCCCATCCGACTGTCCCCGTGCAAAAAAGCCGCGAGGTGGCATGAAGATTGCAGCGAGAAGCGGCGAGAGACTGCGAAGAGAGATAGGAAGAGGCAGACTCCCTAGGGTGGGCGACGGCTAGCGCACCACACACCTCTCCTTAAAATCCCTGTGTGGTGGCGGCGTGCCGTCCTCCCATCCCTCCCTTGGGTTGTGTGTTTTCTTTCTTTCTTTCTTTCTGCAAAAAAGCGTGCCGTCCTCCCATCCCTCCCTTGGGTTGTCTGTTTTCTTTCTTTCTTTCTTTGCAAAAAAGGGGGGGGGGAGAGATTTTTTTTTTTGGGGGGGGGCCAAAGCACCACCAAAAGTCAAACCCCCTTTTTTTTGGAAAAGCGGTTTCCCCCCCCCCCGGGGTTTTTTTTTCCCAAGAACCCCCGCGGTCGGGGAGAAATTCCCCCCGGGAGTTTCCCGGGGCCCCCCCCCCCCTTTCCGGCTTCCCCCCCCCCCCCCCCGCCCGCGCTCCTACACGACCGCACCTCTCTCTCCAACAAACAAACGACCGCCACTGCAATAGTGGGGTCCGATCCCCGCCTACCCGTGTCCGTCCCGCACCTGCGGCTCCCCATCCGTCACGCCGGGACGTGCTTTGATGCGCCGCGGCACAGCCACCATGCGTCGAGCACGTTGTCGACCATCTGGACAGGCGCCGTACGAAGCGCCGGAAGCTGCTCGTCGGCCCATCGCCAGAAGTCTGCCACAACGCGGGCAGTAGTCTCTTGTTCCTCGGCGGAAGCTTCGAGGTCAAGCAAGCGACCGCCCCCCTCGCCTACGTCTCATCAGTGCCGATCGGCCTTACTGCAACTCGGGCGCGCCGCTCAAGCATGGTGTGTGTGGGGGGGTGGCGGGGGGGGCAACCGTGCCGCTGCTTCTTCTGCTTTTCGGGCGGCGAGGTCCGGACGCCCGAGACTTCCTCCGTGCCGCGCACGTTCGGCACTTGCGTGTTCTGCAGTTGTGGGCGGTCGGGCGGGAGGGGCGACGGTGAGATCTAGCTAGCCGAGATCTACCCGAGATCTAGCCGAGAGCTAGCCGAGATTTCACCAAGAGCTAGCCGAGAGCTAGCCGCGAGCTCGCCTCCTGTTCCGGGGCCGTCGGCGCCAGCGAGATCTTGGGGCGCGAGCTCAAGCTCAGCCTCGACGCCGACTTGTCGCCCGCACCGTCGCGGCCGGAGGTGCGCGCGAGAGGGGCGGCGGTGGCGGTGGAGGTGGAGCCGCGGCCCGGCTCGTCGCCTCCGGCGGGGCCGCCCCTCTCGCCTCCGGCGGGGCCGCTCTGCTGCGCCTGCAGCGCGAAGTGTGCGCGCGCGTGGGTGTGGTGGGGTGTGGGGTGCGGGAGCGGGTGCGTGTGTGGGGGCGGGGCGTGCGCAGGGGGGGAGCTGCCTCCGCCGACAGCGCCATCCCCTCCTCGCCGTTCAAAAGCGGCGGCATCCGTGCATCCGGCGGCGCGGCCGGCCGCGCCTCGCCCTGCGCCTGCAGCGCAAAGGGGTTGATGACGCGAGATGAGTGGAGGAGAGGGACGGTGGGTTGTCTGGAGCCCATCGTCCGGTGGGCAGTCCGGTGAGTGCGTGTGTGGGAAGTACGGATCTAGCTAGGGTCTGGGAGAGCTGGGCGATGAGATCTAGATATCTCTGGCCGGCGCATGCGAGGAGACGGCGCCGAAGTGGCCGCCGCCCGAGCGGCCGCCCGAGAGGTCCCCCGAGCTGCAGCTGCCGGGGACGGGCGCGACGGCCCCGGACGAGCCCGCCTCGCCCCGCGCCTGCAGCGCAAAGGCGAGACGTGTGGAGAAGAGAAGCGTGTGTGTGTGCCCGGCCGGATGTGGAGCGTGTCCTACGCCGAGGAGAGAGGCGAGACCTAGCCGAGGTCAAGCCGATATATCTCGCAGAGAGATCTCTATACTCTACCGTCGCCGCCACCTCTGGAGGGACAAAGGGGCGCGCGCGGTTCCAGGGGCGCGCGCGGTTCCACATCGCCGCCGCGTCGTCACGGTAGTACGCGACAAACTCTGCCCACGGTAGGGCGGCGGGACCAC